TGTACGTATGTATGTAACTTCTTATTATGGTGCGCGCCACTTAAATTCCCGTTTGGCCTATTTTTAGAAACCAGATGCAGTTTAAATTTCGCTTTACCCTAATCCCGCAAGTCAAGTAGCGAGCGAGCGCTCTTTCCGTTTGTTGTTTTGATCACTAAAAATGAGATCTGTAATTAAGGTTCGTTCAAGTTTGATTATGATTKTATAGACACGTGACCTCAGAATGGAAAGCCCTCGTTGGTCAATTGATTAATAATAGTTAATATAATACTAGACACTATTGTAGTGTTTACTCGGGCTTCGTTGAGGAAGAACGGCGCGAGAACGCCTGACTACGTCATTTGTACCCCTAGATACAATTAGAAGAGATGCTGCAAATGCACTTGAGTATTTCTTGCATAACAAAATAACGCCGCGCAGTGATTGCGTTACGTGATCTTATTATAGTTAATATTCAAACATGCGTGACTTCTGCCTGCTGTTTTTTTCTTTAGATAAATTTCTAAAGAATACAGTACCTTTATGTAGTAATAGATAAAATATGAGCGGGAGACCTTTATGGGCATTTAAAGCGGCGAGCCGCAGGCGAGCCGTTTTAAAGCCCATAAAGGTCTCCCGCTCATATTTTATCTTACTTGTGAAATGAATTAATAATTCATGAGTTTTGAAATGTTATTAACAAATGAGGACTTAGTTGATTGTATGACGAAATTGAATAGAATATTATTCATTGATAATAACAAAATTCTTTCATGGCTTAGTTGCCGGAATGAGTTCTCCCAAAGGAGTTTCGAAATATTGAACACTGAATTTAGCAGTTCATTTTCATAGAGAGGTTGTAGTAGAAACATGGCTGWTCGGTTTCGCTCTGCAAAGAGTAAAGAAGAAGAGTCCAGTTTAGTGTCGGAAGCTACTCCAAAAGCTACTCAATACAGCACTAAATGGGGCATAAACGTTTTCGAGGAATGGCAGGAACAACGGCCAAATAAATTAGCAATGTTAGAACACGTTGGAGTGGCCGGTCTCAAAGGTGATGACGTTCAAGATCTGACCGTTAATCTGGAGCACATGTTGCCAAATACCTTAAACTTTTGGTTGTGTAAGTTCGTTGGCGAAGTGGCCAAGAAAAATGGAGAGCGTTATCCACCTAAAGCGCTTTATTTTTTAATTTGTGCGATTAACCGACATTTAAGTGAGACGAGAGGAGAGAATGCATTGAACGTTCTCAATAAAGCTGACAAGAGGCAAGTAAATTTATTGGGTGTTTTAAATGAATTGCCTTAAATTGCATTTTATAATTAGGTGGAAAAATATTTATTTCATGGTTTTAATAAACTTATTCTTTTATTATAAATGTTCGCGTCGTTTCGCAAAGTATTAGACGCAGAGATGAAGGATGCTACGAAGTGTGGAATAGCTCAGAAGTGCAAGATGGACGCACGTAAAGAAGTAACTGAGGATGAAGAGGCAATATTGTGGGAAAAAGGCCTTCTCGGAGGACATTCAGCTGAGTCATTATTGTACACTATCTATTTTTATAATGGCAAAATTTTTGGCCTTCGAGCTGGCGAACACAGGTTACTTAGGCTTAGCAACATTTCTGTTAAAGAAGGTGTGATCATGATAATTTTTGATGAAAGTTTGTCAAAAACATTTCATGGCGGGTTAAAAGATTTGCACAATAAGCCTCGTTTCATACAGCATAAGTGCCATGATACTGGAAGTCAGCATAATCGATGTTTAGCTGCATTGTATTCAGTTTATATCAGTAAGGTGCAAGATTTTGCTGAAAGTCTTGAAARCTTTTATTTTCGGCCGCATAGAAATGGCAAGTTCGATTACGAAAGAAGCGCTGTAGGTTTATGCACTTTAAATAAGATACTGCCGGATAAATTATGTCAAAAAGCAAACTTGCCCCGCAAAACAGCTCACTGCTTGCGTGTTACTTGTGCTAGTCGATTGTTCCAGCACTCTGTCGAAGAAAAGTTAGCAAGAAAACGAACGGGACATAAATCGAACGCATTGTTTTCGTATCAAAAAGCAAGTGAAAAGCAGTTAGATAATGTAAGCAATGTTTTAGGGCCAGTCAGTGCTCCTAAAGAAACGGAGTACGAGCATAGTAGTGTTAAGGAGAAGTTATCAAAACCTAGAGAACACGTAGAGAATGATATTGTCGATTTTGATTGGAAATTTGACTTGTCAGACGATGTACTA